AGGGCTTTGGCTTTCCTAACCTGATCCCTGGCTGCTTGGACAATTTCTCTGTGTTTCTCCCAGGCTACCTGTCTTTGCTTCCACACTCTGTAAGTTTCCTTAATTTGTTTGAGTTTGTCCAGGAGCTCCTTGTTCATCCATGCAGGCCTCCTGGTGTTTTCACCTGGCTTCCTCTTTGCTGGGATGCCTCGCTCCTGAGCTTGGAGGAGGTGATGCTTGAATATTAACCAGCTTTCTTGGGCTCCTCTTCCCTCCACAGCTTTATCCCATGGTATTCTACCAAGCAGATCCCTGAAGAGGCCAAAGTCTGCTCTCCTGAAGTCCAGGGTAGCGAGCTTGCTTTGTGCCCTCCTCACTGCCCTAAGGATCTTGAACTCCACCATTTCATGGTCACTGCAGCCAAGGCTGCCCTTGAGCTTCACATTCCCCACCAGCCCCTCCTTGTCGGTGAGAACAAGGTCCAGCACAGCACCTCTCCTCATTGGCTTCTCCATCACTTGGAGAAGGAAGTTGTCATCAACGCATTCCAGGAACCTCCTGGATTGCTTATGCCCTGCTGTGTTGTCCCTCCAACAGATATCAGGGTGGTTGAAGTCCCCCATGAGGACCAGGGCTTGTGAACCTGAGGCTGCTCCTACGTGTCTATAGAGGGCCTCATCCACTCAGTCTTCCTGGTCGGGTGGCCTGTAGCAGACCCCCACTATAACGTCACCTGTCCCTGCCCTCCCTTTAATCCTGACCCACAGGCTCTCGGTCAGCTCCTCATCCATCCCCAGGCAGAGCTCCATGCACTTCAGCTGGTCATCGACATCGAGGGTGACACCCTCTCGTTGTTTCCCCTGCCTGTCCTTCTTAAAGAGTCTGTATCCTTCCATTCCAACACTCCAGTCACAGGAGCCATCCCACCACCTCTCTGTGATGCCAACAAGATCATAGCCCTGCAGGTGTGCGCACATCTCTAACTCCTCTTGTTTATGCCCCATGCTACATGTGTTTGCAGAGGCATTTACGTTGGGCCCCCATGAAGCTGAGTGGCTGGCTGGGGGGACTGGAATTCTTTTGTGCTGCTCTTCAGGGGCTCTTTTACCGACCTGCGATCCCTCTCCAGGCTCTGGGCATCTGTTGCTGGCAATGGCATCAAACTGGTAGAACTGGGACGGATAGAGGTTCCCCTCCCCTGGCAACTTTAATTCAAAGCCCTCTTCACCAGCTTGGCAAGCCTGTGACTGAAGATGCTCTTCCCCTTCTCTGATGGATGGACCCCATCAGCCTCCAGTAGACCAGGTTTCTCAAAGTGAGTCCCACGGTCTAAGCAGCCGAACCCCTGGCTGTGGCACCAGTCCCGTAACCGTTTGTTGATTCGAATGGCCCTTTCACACCCCTTCCCGTTGACCGGGACGATTGATGAAAAAACTACCTGTGCTCCAGAGTCCCGTACTGCTGCTCCCAGGGCTCTGAAATCCTTGATACTCCTCAGACTGCTCCCGGCGGTATCACTGGTGCCCACGTGAAACAAAAGCAGTGGATAATATTCGGTGGACTTTAATGAGGCTTGGTAGTCTCGGTGACATTCCTGACAGAGCACTCGGTAAGGAGCACACCTCTCTAGAGCGTGTCGGGTCGGCAGACGGGTGCCTCCATACCTCGCAGAAGAGAGTCGCCTACTCCTACCGCCCGCCGCCTTTTCTTAGTCGCGCTGGTTGTTCCGCGGGGAGCAGATGGGGCTGCCTTCCTCGGCTCCAGCATCTCTCCTGACGTGACGGGTCTTTCCTCTTCAGTCTGCAGAGCGGTGAAACGGTTCTGCAAGGGCACCTCAGGCTTCGGGGGAAGTTCTTGTCCTCCTGCAGGTCCTTGCCGTTGCAAGCTTCCATTCTTCTGCATTGTTGGCTCCCCCTCCCTTCTGCGTGTGCCGGTGGGGGAAGTTTTGGGCTGTTCGGCTGTGGGCTGCGGACCACTGCAGACCGCGCTTGGAACCAGCTCTCTAACCCCTTCTCAGCCTCCTTGATGCTACGCAGCCTTCTCGCCGCCTCCTGCAGCTCAGCCACACGTTGCAGGAGGTCCTGCGCCTGGGCGCACCTTTTGCAGGCAGCTCTGCTGCCTGTCCCAGCCCCAGGAGAAAGGTTTGGGCGCTCGTGCCCCTGCTCCTTTCCACGGGCAGGGGCCTGGCTGGGTTGTATTTCTTGTGCTGCACCATAAGCCCAGGCTGCCCGTAATGAACTGCAGGAGCTCGGCTGGAGGGGAGGTTATGAAATAATGCTGCTTTGGAAAATTGAAAGTAAGAGTTCCATTTCAGTTTTCATTGAGAAAAATCTACACTCCTTACCAAAGTTAAGATTTTGTCTTTCAAATGATTGAGTTTTAAAGGAATCTTTTTTCCTGTCAAAAATGTGGGGTTTATGGATTGTTCCCAGCCAGTCCTTGGCTGTGTTTCCCATCAATGATGCTACTAATTTTGCTTATTATGTGCTTTCTCTTTACTTAATCTCTTAAGAATTTGCGTATTTTAGAATAAAGTTTTTTATTCTCCCTTTTTCTCCCTTTGTCCTTTTTCCTCATCTTCCAACAGATGGCAAACTGAAGATGTGGGTATACGGAGTGTCAGCTGGCGGGTTCCTCATCATAGTTTTCCTTATTTTTACATCCTACCTGGTGTGGTGAGTATGGCATGTATTTTGTCCTTAAATAAAAGCTAGTTTGCTTTCATTTAAACAATCCAAAATACATCACAATGCTGTGTGTTGCAGAGATTTAATCCTCAAGGCTTTAGGAAAGGATGGAACTTTGATTACTCAATTGCCTTCATTTGGCCCCTACCTCAGAGTAATTAAAGCTCTCCAAATTGTAAATGTTATTGGACGTAATTGTAAAGAAGTATGGTGGCCGTGCAGGGAGAGAATTCTTTTTGGTTATCAGTAGGCCTTTATATTTATTCAGACTTCTGCTGGGATTAGAATGGGCTTTTTATTGTATTCTTTAAAAAAAAGATAAAGTAAAACTGAAAAAAGGCAAGGAGGCTGATTGGATCGAGGAGCTGGCTTCCGCTCAAGGAAGGACTAAATAGAATAGGGGCATTCAGTTGGAAAATGATGTTTGACGTGGGAATACAATAGAGATCTATGAAATCATGAATGGAGTAGAAAAGGGCGCTAGGGAATTTTTATTTCCCACAATATAAGAAGTAGGAGGCATCTGATGAAATGATCGTTTAAAATAAACAAAAAATTTTATTTTTCACACAGTGCATTATTACCTTGTGAGCTTACTGCTGCCGGGGACTGTGCATGCCAGGAAGATAAATGGATTCAAAGATGGCATAACAGTTCACGGGAGATTGGGTCTCTTGGTGTTAATTGTGGTTTTCTGGATGTACGCTCCAGCTCAGGAAATCCCTAAATAGGTTTTTGCAGTGAATACATCAGGTGGAAACATGTCCTGTGTCTAAAGCTGCTGTTACCAGCCACTGTTAGAGATAGGGTACTGGGTGTACCGAAGCCCTGGTCTACACCAGTGCATCACTGCTGCTGGGCTTTACTGGTGGGGGAGATGTCAGCCCTCCTCCAAAGCAGCGGTCACCCTGGGCAGGGGTGGTAGGCCTGGCTTGACAGAGCTAGTGTTGCGCTCCCTGGTTTGAATATTTGGAAAGGCGCTGCCACAGATGCGTCTTGGAGGATACAAAGGGAGACGTGGCCAGCGTCCATGTGTGTTGCAATGCCCACAGCTGTCCCTGAGGACCACGGAGCTAGCCCTGGCTTTACAAACATTAACGGTGCAGCTGCCCCAAACCCTGTCAGATCAGGGCAGGCAACCAAAGAGCCACCACCTGACAGCATCATTGCCTTCTTTCTTCCAAAATCACTTTATTCTCTTTCACTCTCTCAGTCTTTCTCTCAGTCTCTGTCTTCAATTAAAAGCAGTGTTTGGATGCTGCTTAGGAGATGCAGCTTCCTTATTTTCCAAGCCCTGTAGCTGCCATTTCTCTATGGCTTCACAGTGGAGCATACAGAGGATTTTTTAAATAACATTATGTAGTTCTCCATCACTCGAAGGCTGGTGAGGAAGTGTATTTCTCAATAACAATTATTGTTGCTTCAATACCATGCCGAAGAAAAAATGAGAATATCCCACTCCTAGACAGTTCATGTTTCAATTTTTCTGCAAGGGGTTCCTTGTTTTGTCAGCTGTGAGAAGACATGGGAGACAAATATGCTTTATTTCCTCTCCAGACGAAGAGCACAGTTGGCTGCCCGTTGTCAGCAGGCTGTGTGTCCGTACCACACACAAAACAGCACTCAAGCAGGTCCATGTGGTTTTTCTTGGAAGTAGTTGCTGTACTGCCGTGTCACCTAGTTGCAAAATGAAATAGCCGGCGTGGGAAGTTGTTTTTTGTTGAAGTTTGGGTTTGATGATGTTTCTGAGCTTATCACAGTTTATAATTTTGTCTCCTGAAATATTTTTCTTGCAGCAAAAAAAACAAGCAGCATCAAAGTACTCCTCCACAGCAGAAGCCTCTAACCTTAGCCTATGATGGAGACATTGATATGTAACATAAAAAAGAAATCCAAATGTAGACATCGACTGCCTTAACTGCTTTCTTTTTTGGAACTCTCCGACTTCTCAGTTTTTTGAGGAATCTCCTGATGTGTAATATACTGGGCAGAACAGAAGTATCGCAAGCTTAAAATTTTGCCACCTCTTTATTAAAAAAAATGGAGTCAAAGACTTGGATCTTGTGAAACTTTTCTGAAGAGACCAGAAAATACATCTCTTCCTGTTGAGCAATGGGAAAAAAAAAAAAAAAAAAAAAAAAAAAAATAAACAGACATCAAAAGGAATTAGTAAAAAAAAAGGCATGACAATCCTGAGGAAAATGTGACATTTACTGTAAATGACAAGTTTGACACAGCATCATTATGCACTATATTAGTGCAGAGTTCTTTATTCTTCACATATTTCAACAATGAGTTTTCTAGTGTTTACATTTCGTTCAAAGACTTTAAAACCAGATCATGTATTTTAAGAAATGCAAAGAAGAATGAGTTGAAGTGTCTGAAGTTATCAGGTTTTTTAAAGTTTCTTCCTTCTTATCCTGTTTTCTAGTCTGGAATATGATTTTGCTTCATTTCCACCTACAGGACAGAATAAGGATTGTTATGAAAAAGCATAGGTGGTTTCTTAACCAAGAATATTTTTTAAAGAGTCGAGTAGATAGGTGTTTTGATGAATGGCTAGAGGATTTGATTGTTTAAAAAGTATTTTAAATTATATTAAACCATGTAGATACATTATGGCCAGTTTAAATTGTTATTCATTTTAATTAATACAAACTCTGCTTTTGTATTTAAATTTTCTTATCTGAAATATTTATAAATTCTTTTTTTGAATTTAATTACCTGACCTCATTTAATATACATCAAACACAAATGCAGTTTGTAGAAGGTCTTGCTTTTTTAAATGTTTCAAAACTACTGAGAAGTCACATGCCATAAACATCTGGGAACATTTGAAGAGGGTAAGTGTTTATAATAGTGTGTGTCGCAAGTAAGAAAGTGCCATCTTGTGGTATTGACTTGTATTTATAAGCAAATAAAATGCTAAAGAGAGTGAGAAAATTGCTTCTGGTATGTTGAATTAAATGTGTGTAAACAACAGTCGTTACTAGTCTTTTACTGTGTCTGAGATTGGACTCGGATTTCAAACAATTCTGCCATATTTGGTGCTGTAGTGATTAGTGAAAGAAAAAATGTAGACAAGTGCAAGTCGAGAGAATAATTGCAGATCTGGAGATGCTTGGTCTTATTTTTAGCTCAATGCTGCTGCTTATTCCAATAATTAGAAAGAAGGGAAAAAAAAAAGAATTATTACCAGCCTAGCACCTGTGTGGTCCTTCTCGATCTGCAGTTACTTCAGAGTGGATCATCTCAAGAGAAGGGTATAATTAGGGCTGAAGGCAGTACTCGTCTTGTTCTGTTGCTATTCACAGCTTTGTAAAGCAATCTGAATATTATGGTTTCATTGAAAAAATGATGGTATTGTAGATTGGTTTCCTTCCCCAGGTCAGGATCCCACCTGTCCAGCGTTTCTCCCGCAGCATTGAATTGAGATAATATTGTGTCGTCAAAGCAAGGTCAGGAATGCGCTTTCCTCTTCCCGCATTAAAAAAAAAAGGCTGATGGAATTGTGAGGGGACATTGTCTCACTTTTTTCTGGCCCTGAAGATGTTCTGCTGGCCCTGCTTGCTACCTTAGAGCTGTAACTGATTATGGTGTAAAAAGCAGGATCTGGTGTCCCCCAGTAACATTGGGGGCCTAAATCTTTTTTTAACGGTGCCCTGTACTGAACCTTTGAGTAACATGTATAGAGTAAGAGTTACAAGGGGAATAATGATCTAGTGCTATTAGGAAGAATACTTAATACGTTTTGTCTGCAGTATATGATGTGAGGAGAATGGTACTCTCTTAATAAATGAAGGAACACACTCAATTAAGCAAGCTGTTCAAAAAGGCATCGGAGTGGGAAAGTTGGTGTAATAATAACAAAAAATGACAGCTGCAACATGTGGTCATTGCCCTCGACATCAGGGTAAATTACAGTCCGAACCGTGATGTCCAGCGCAGGAGACGCGGGCTGTACGGTGAACCGCCTGGGGGAGGCAAGGAGCTCCAGGTGCCACACTGCCAAGTGTATTTATAATGAGCCGGTGGATCCGGGGCTGTGCTTCCATTTGGTGGCCTTCGTGCAGTCTTATGTCCCCCCTCGTGCTGTAGCACCTTCTGGCCAAAGCCCCGCAGGGTCTCCAAAGGGACTGGCCATGGGTCTCGCTGGGGCCGGGTGCTGCCTGCGGAGCTGTGGGCTGTGCAGGGCGCTGGCGCACGGGGCCAACGGACAGCATCTTCTGCAAAGCTGTTGCAATTCAGTAAAGCCCTTTAGGGAACGAATGCACCTGTTTGACTTTGTAAAAGAAAATAAAACAGAGGGGAAGGCTCGCGAGGCTGCCGTTAGAGATAGCCGCTGCCGGCTGTGCGCTGTGTCTGCTGGCACGCACATGAGCCCTGCATGCGCTCGTGGTCCAGCTCGAACAGCACGGTGATGCAAATGTCACGATGTAATTGCATGTGTTTGATAATTTGGGATTGAATTAAGCTGTGAAATTGAACCAAGGAGCTGGCAGCCCTGCAGGGTCCGTGAAGCTGAGAATGCAGCATGATGCAAAAAAAAGGAATCGGTTGTTTAGACAGATACCAAGATTACTGCTGTTTGTAAGAGCCCTGGATATCCTGTTAGGAGGGATGCCCAGCCTCCCGTGGCAGCACTGAAAGTCAATTCCTACCTTTCAGAGACCAAAACAAGTTGTGACATGGAAGAAGGATACTCCCAATTCTTGCCTGTTTGGGATTTCTAAACTTTATGCTGAAGTAGCTGGTGCTGACCCCTGCCAAAGACAGGAGAGAGATCTTGGTCTCGTTCAGGAAGGTAATTCCTATACACCCAACTAGGGCATCCCATTAAGACACACATGTGATTGTGAGTAGGAGCATCTGAGGACAAAGAGTTTGCCAAATGTCCTGGCAATCTGTCTTGGTAGTTAAGAACCAGATAATTAAAGAGTCTGCGTTTTGTCATCTTTTGTTTCAACTCTATTGATTTCAGCGTCTGCTACCAGGTGTCTCCTACGTCGATATTACAGCTCTAAAACATGCAATTCTTTTTTTTTTTTTTTTTTTTTTAAGATCTATCTTCTGGGGAGTTTTTTCCCCCCCATTCAAAGACTCTCTAAGACACAACAGTAAAACAAAATAGCAGCAACTGAAGACACCACAGAAAACAAATTGCCAAGAAGTATTGAAGTGCTGCATACCTATATCATTCCTGCAATCATTTTGGTTATGCTCAGAAATGAGATATTTGCACACACAGGTACTGCGTCTATGCGTATCATTGTGCCTAAACACCGCCAGCATCTGGGCTTTTGTATGAGGTATGTAAAATGAAACTACGCTTTTCCTGCAGAAATATCATGAAGTCTTGGGGAGCTTTCACATTAGCAGGGCTGGATTCCAGCTGTACTCCTCTCCCCCCGCAGCAACCACACCAGCAGTGTCACTGAACACTTGAACTTTGGGTGCTACAGTCAAGAACAAAGACCGTCATCTTCTTTGCTCTGGAAGCAGAATACTGTAAAAATTCCTACAAGACAATGTAGCTAAAGACTTGTAAATTAGCTTGTCCTTGTATTCATATGTGTCGAAGAAAAGCCTAATGAGTAGTTTTCTTTGCTTAAGTACACTTACATTCACGGCCGGTTTTATCAGGAAATGAAGAAAATATTATCTTGGAGAAACAATACCAGTTGAGCACTTCTGTTTTGGATTGATCCTGGTAAGTATGAAGTTATGATTAGAGATCAGGTCATTTGCTGCTAACATGGCATAGCTGGTTTCTTGAAACACTTATTTTTTCTAAATATGTAACTTAATTTGCACTTACAAATGGAAGGAGAAATTTAGTTTAAATATAATTTTGGGGCTTGTTTTCAATTGGGAGGTTGTAATGCAGAAAAAAAATTACCTAACTCAGGACCTTTTGAAAGATGGGTTGGGATACCTGATGTATTAATGTGCCTCGGGACAGATTATGGTTCTGTCTGGTTTAAAATGTAATTTAAATGAATTAACTTTCACATCTTACAGCTGTGACATGCGCCCGTCCTGGACAGGAGCTTGATTTATATTATCTTTATGAAGATGTATCTGTGTGCATACTATTACGCGCCATCAATATGCATGTGTTACTTGATTCCCGGAGCCACAACCTGACAGGTGACTCTGTTACTGTCATTTAACTGCTGACATGACTTGTGCCACCGGCCATGCTGTTAAGCTCTTGTGATGTGACACGACCTGACTCGTAACGCTTACGATGGGTCGTGCCTCCTGCTTCTGTCAGACGTGGAAGATAAAGAAAGAAAGAAAGTTGCATGTAATTCCTCCTGGTCTTGCTGCATCTGCGGGGAAGGGCATCTTCCCACGTCGCAGCAGTCACCCCTGCCCGGTGCAGGTGGATGGGGATGTGATGTGTTAGGGGGTTGTTACCAGTTGAGGAAGTTGTACAGCTCTGAGGTTGCCTTAAAGAAGTCTGTCTGACCCCTCGGGATACCTAGGACTACAAACACGAGCGTAAAAAACGAAGGAATTCACCTGAACTAGCATTAAATAAATGGAACTGCGCACAGTCATTTCTTGTTCCTACCTGGTAGAGAGAAATGAGAGTCTTGCTGTGAAGTCTGATAGTATGGGACCCCCCTATCCCTTGAAATGGGTTATTATTTGGCCATGCTTTGTGATTTGGTCACATTTACATTTGGGGAGAAAAGACTAGATTTGAATGGTCATAATGGTAATCACAGCTACGGGATGCTTTCTGCATGAATTTTTAATGTATGCCCTTTTATCTTCCAATCCAATATAGTTTATTCTTATTTTTAAATGTAAACATATGGTAAAATGGTCACATATGAAACGTCTGAGAAAAGAATCCAGAAACCCCA